TGCAGGGAGAACAACGCGTCGGCAGGAAAGGGCTCCTGGGGAGAGGCGAGGGACGTGGGGCACAGCCTGGGCCTAAGATCCGTTGGGAACCGTGTCTTCTTCCATTTCTTCTTCAGCGTCCTCCGACGGGCCTGAAAGGACACGTCAGAGGAGTTTTAGGGCGGTTACTGCAAATGTTAGTTTTCTTTCCCATTGGGACGATACTAATTTTCAGCCCTCTGAAGAGGGCAGTAATAACATCAACTCTTAAAAAACACTACAGAAAGAGAAATCTATATAGCGCTAACATACAGAAAACAGGCAATATTGCCAGTCTGCATTTAAGATTTGTCCATGCAGAGCCTCTCACAGACACACTCCTGTACCCCCACCTGAGGCACTAACACCCAGAAAACAGAGTCCAGATACACCTTGTAATTAATCTCATTTTTTTAAATAACTGGGGTGAACTGTTTGGAGTTAGCCAATACAGCGAAGCACTTTGGGCTGATGCTTGGCACCTTGCTCCCGAGGCAGTCCAGGTGTAGCGGCCCTGAACTGCACTCTAGAGACCAGGCAGATGATGTGCCAATTGCAGAGTCTTGTGGGTGTGGTCCACAGTCATTCTGGCGATAAAGTTACACTCATTTTGAACAGATTTTTCAACTCCCTAACTGTTTGGCCCTTCCAACGTAACTCCCTACTGAGATCACATAAAGCATCAGGAAGCAATGAAGAGAGGTAAGATTCCGTTTGGAAAACAAAAGCAGTAGAAGTATAGAGTGACCTGATTTTCGTTCCCTGCCGGGAATCTGACCAGCCTGTAGTAAGCCTTTCAGTCGCTCCACTTCAGCCAGAGTCGTGGCATTTGCTATAGCAGTCTAAAAAAAAACCAGAGATTAAGAACGTGATGACTCTTCGCATACAGTATGTCAGTCTGTTTAGAATAAACAAGATTTTTTCCAGTTAAGTGAAGCTAAACTTCTATAGAAAATTTTACAAAATTCCAGTTCTAGAAAATTCTACAAATGACAAAGCACAATCTTACTTCCACCCCTTATTAAATAAGCTGCTCTATCCTGGGAGAACTCTAAGTTCAGACAAACGTTTCATTTAAGCTCTCAAAAACCAGGTATGTCATAACAGCAGAAAAGTTACAGAAAAAGCACCTAAACCAAAGTTAGGACACACTGTTCTATTTGTCTGAGCAGAGTCAGGGGTTGCCAGGAGGAAGGAAACATTTGTTCAGTTCAGACTCATGACAGTTTTTTCTCCTCCACTTTTGCGTACATGGGCAGTCCTGACGTGTTTACCTTAATTGCCTCAACATCCCCTGGAGAGGGCCCAGCTTTCTTTTTGTCAGTTGGCAGACCAGCACCTGGATTGAAGCTTCAAAGGAAAAATAAAGAGCCATTACACCTTTTGAAGAGTATGCGCTTCTCTAACTTCCAAACTAGGTTTGGAAGCATTTCATTCAATCAAGTGTAGTATCTTATCTTAGTTAACAAACTGATACAGTAAAGAATTGCCTCCTTCAGAAACACCAGCAACTTGTCCTCGCTGTCCCATTCCCCCCCCGCCCCGCGTTTTCATCCGCTCACAAAGAGAGGCAGTTGACAAAAGCTATTTGGATGTTGTTGAACACTCAGGTGGTCTGTTGCCATTACAAAAGCAGGGTGGATAAATAAATTGGATTTCCTGTTCTTATATGTCCAACACTGTATTACAACAGCCTATATTAAAGCCTACACTGGACTGGATGTAATCAATCTTAACACTCAAAATCAAAAGGTTATCTGCTGCTGCTTTAAGAAAAAAAAGGAAAAAAAAAGAAAAATCTGTAGTCTGTAAAAATGGATGTAATCAGCTGGAAAGAATTTCCTGAAGTGCTGACCCAGCATCAGAGTGCTGCAACGTCTTTTGTAGCTATAGAAAGATTTTCTTCGTATCTGTTTATTGAGCTATTTAGTTCAATCACTTACTTGTTCTAAAACTATCACAGACCTGAACCACTTTCCACTCATAAACTAGAGCTGGAGTCCATCTATTACAGTTTTAAATTCTAAATACTTCAAGGTATTTTTTTTTATTTAAACATGAATTTGGAAATGCTGTTGCTGTACATGATCTGAATTCTGATTTCCAAACAGGCTGATGAAAGACTAAACAATACATATGAAGTACCACTTTAAAATTAAACTAAATAAACATGTATTCGTAATAGCTTAACTAAAGATTTTCATCTGCATTTATCCTCCCAACTACAGCAGATTTTACAGTTTATATTCCCTGGCAAAAAAAAAAAATTTAGTTAACAATCATCTAGGAAAAGAAAAACAAAATAAACAATGGCCACCTCTCTGCAGTTAAATAATAAAAAGAAAAAATAAAATTAAGGTTTCCTGCTTGTTGACTTAAATCAGTGCACCCTGAGCAAATATCTCTTCCAAAAATATTTCCAAGATGTATTCACCACCATCCAAAAATCGGGCTGCTTGGACAAGGCACTTCTGGCTACCAAAGCTTTTAAGGCATCCTGCCCATAACTGGTATTGCAGTTTACTGCCTAATCCTGCACACAAAGTAAGTGGTGTTTCTGAAGGAGAATGCCAGTGTAAATTTGGTTTTTTTGTCTTACGTTTTTGTTCTCCTGGCAATATCCTTTGCAAGCTGTGCACCCCGTTTGCCCTTGAACATTTTCTCTGCCTCCTGTCGCTCCTACAGCGATACCACACACACAAAGTTAATTTAAGAACATTGCATTTTGCAAAGCTTGTGTCTTTGCAAAGAAAGACGCTTTGGCTCATCTTCATCAGTGAACATTGGTATGTGGAGACCAGATGCAAGAACAAGCACATAAACATTGCCCAAATGCTCAGACTCGAGATTTATCAACCTAGTGCTCTCAAATTCTTTCCCACACTCATCTTCACTGAAAGCAGATTGCTCATTTCTTTCTCTAGAGGTCTGTCTTTCTCCCAACACCAGAGGGCCAGAAAAGAAGCAGACTAAACAAACAAAGGTAGTAAAACTTAATTAAACATAACTAAAGAGACTATATCCTTAATGGAATGAAACCATGAAAGAAAACAGAGTCTGTTTTAGAACCACTTATGATATATATAGTTTCAATAACATTTACAACTGTGGCAAAAAGCTTAATGTTACTGCTGAATTTTCAAGAATGTAACAAGAGGAAAAAAAAAAAATATTCATCTTGTGCCAAATCAAAAGAAAGTAGACTTACTTTCAGTTTTACTTTTTGAAAATCCAGCACTCTGACTTGGGGAACTTTGTGGATTACATACAATCTGTAATGCTTCTTATTTGTTACAGGATTCCTTAAAATGCTACAAAGTAAATAAAGGTTATGAAGAGGTTCTTAATATAAAATATTTTAAAATACACTGTTATTGAAATACATTAATATACTTAAAATGCATTCATGTACCTTCTGCTATGACAGACAACAAATAACACCACTAAATAAGCCTAGTGACAGTGTTCTTTGATACTATTAAAACTGTAGAAAAACTTGCACTTTACCAATTAAGTAGATTTTGTTGAAGAAGAACATAAAGAACAACCCCAAATATTAAAAAAAACCCCAAATAACTGAACCATCACATTTCCTACCTGGACACTGATCCACCAAAAAATCATGAGACAAATTGCTTTTCTTTTTTTTTGTTCCTCACACCAAATGTAACATTACTGAAAAGTCACTCTTTACATGTATTTAAAAGTATTTTGTAACAACAGTTTAAACCTTTAGTTTTTAAGTTTTGAAAGGTTAAGGTTACTTCAGTGCTTGCATATTGGTCTACAGAGATGTTACACCTCATTGCTCCAACCGTCTGTCAGTAATATAAAGCCTCATTAAATACCAGGTATTTCTTAAGCGTAGTGGAAACACTGTTTATCAATCAATTCCATATTTAGGAATGAAGAATCTGTCACAGGTCATAAATGGAGAGCATTCCAGATCAAAGCAAAGAGCCAGGCCAGCAGCGGAGTTCAAACAGCACAGAAAGAGTAGCTTTTCTTTTCAAGATTACCTACCTCAGGTAAGTCAATGATTTAATAGTTGATAACGGATCCAGTTCACCCTACGTAATGGGAACACAGTAAGAAATCGTAAATCCATTTATTGAAAAATCAAATGTTTAAAAACAAAGTTCCTGAACTCATATCTATTTTAGAGACCAACCAGAATTACTAATTGGTACTAATTAAAATTACTGCAATTAGTTTAACAGGAAACCCACTAAGACTTTGTGACTGCTGTTCCACTGCATGCTGCAAATTATGTTCATTAAAATATGTACACCATTAACTACTACCAAAATCATATGATATTACTCTAAAGAAAAAGAACCAACTATTACTAAAAACATATAACACTACTCTCAAGAAAAAGGTTAATTAGTAATATGACAAACACAAAACTTAAGCTTGTTTAGATTTATCCTGCATTGATAGCTTACCAATTCAGCAATGTTGTTGTTGGTAAGAATGAGTTCCGTCAGGCTGGGCAGAGCTTGTTCAAGGTTTTCACCAATTCGACTATAAAGAACAACAAAAAGTAAAGGTTTAACTTGAGCCAGAAATTAGCAAGGGTGAAAAGACACACAGAAATATGACAACATAGAGGATCTCCCAGTAAAAAAAGCCAGTCTGACACTGGCAGAAGTTTGGGTTAGCATCCCTTACAATACTTCTTCTAACAAAGCTGGCAATAAACAGCCATTGCTGTAAGGGTGTTGGATGCAATATGAGATTTACATTCATTCACTTGCAGGTTTTCCTGTTTTCTTGTCTTTATGGGGATGATTACTGAAATCCAAAGTTCAAGGCAAATTCCAAACCCTGCATTTCATTGTTCTGTCTGAAAAAACAAAGACTGACTTTTGCACTGAATGAGGCAGGGAACTCAAAGAGGGCCTATATAGTACTCAGTGCCAATTTTTTTTCCATAAAACAAACACTTCTACACCTACCCAGCACTGAAAGATGCATGCACACTTCTCTCCCAAGAGCATTTTCCTTTGCCCCAGGGTCCCATCTGGCCAAAACACAACTGCTTACCAAATCCTATTGTTATTCATCAGAAGAGTTTTCAGCCTTCTCAACAGAGGGAATCCATCCAGTTTACGGATCTCATTGTCAGAGAAATCAACTGCATCAAATTGGTCCAGAGTGGCACCCAAGTTCTCAATAACAGGGATTTTATAGCCTGGGGGGGGGAGAGTGCAAGACAGGAATTAGACGGTGCCCACATGAGAGCAGAACAAAGCAAGAGACAAAGCACGTAGGGGGCATATCTGGAAGGACTGAGAATGCAGATAGTCTCAGTCAAAACACCTCTGGAACGCCGCTCCTCCACATCGCTCACAGACCAAACTCTTCCGCCCCCAAAGCCAACTGCCCCCGCAGCCTTTTCCAACCACCCCTCTTCCTCCCCCTCAGCAAACACCCCAAGTCCCTCCCTGTATGTGCTCCCTCAACCCAGCTCCCCCTTTCTGGCACATCCCTCGTGTGTCCGTCCCCCCTCCCGCCCCGCACGTTCCTCCGACATTTCCCCCAAACTCCCCTTCCATTCCATTCCATTCCACCCCCTGAACCCCCTCC